TTCAGCAGCCAAGATGATCATCAGCCCTTTGCTCTTTCACTAACTTTCTTCTTTAGTCTGCCCTCTTTCTCCATCCTCAAAGGATATGAGATGCTAATCACTATATGTAGAATGATACTCCTCCATGTTATGCATCATGACATCTTTCTTCTAGACTTCATTCCTAAATCAAATAGTTTCATGTCTGCACCAGAGACTCCCCCATCTACTGCACAGATGGCAAACCAAGGAATGGATGGGGTTCCCCACACAACTCAGACAGCTCTCATACTCCTTGTGAACTCCAGTATTTGGGGTTGAATTTTAAGAAATTATGAATTTCACTAAATGGATCTTATTTGTAGCATCAAATGGATGAGCCAGTTTCCATCCATTTAATTTAAGGTTGGTTCTGTCAGGAGTTCAGAGAAGTTATCTGAGGTTAGATCAGAAAGTAGTGAACAGTGATCTCTTTAAAAGAACATGTTGAGAATTCCTCTCCTAATATAAGCACTCATAAGAAACTCATTCAAAGACATGATATGCTTACCAACCAGCCCCCTCATGCCTGTCCAGACGTAACTGAGAGGCACCCATCCTTCTTCAGGTATGTAATCTGTTAACAAAATAAGGGACTGTGTGCCATGTTGAGGGGCGCCCGACTACCTGTGGAGAACTCAGTGAGCTGTAGCAGGACAGAGAGTTTCTTGAAATGGTGGAATTTGAGCTCACCTTCAGGAGATCTTTGGAGAGTAGTTTGAAAGGAGAGGAGATCAAACTTCCAAGAGGCATGAGTAGGTTCAGCCTGGGTAAGGAGCCACACAATGGGACCTGTAGGCTGGACATAGGGCATGTCTTAGAGATTGCAGAAGCCAGACGTGCAGAGTGACCCATTGGAATAAGTACACGATGTCCACTGGCAGACATTATTGTGTGCCGTTAGGTAAGCTACTTAAACTCTCTGAAATCTGGGTGCATTAATTTGCAATATGAAGGTAAACCAATGTCTTACCCCGAGGGTAACTACTGGGTTCAAGTGGAAATTCTTTGAATGGAAATTGTTTGTAAAGGTGAACTCCTCGGTGCTGATGGATGACCACAGTGGCCAAGTGGTGGTGGGTGATTACAAAACCACAGTTTTTTGTGCTAAAAGTAATCAAAAGCTGGTCTAACCTGTCACATTTTACCAATAAGCCAGACCTAACGTGACTTAGCTGAGCTAGTTAAGAGCATAGCAGGGTCTAGAACCCCACAGTGCTGGGTTGAAGAGAATAAAAATCTCACGTCCAAGTCAACTCCCCAGCTACCTGGATTTCCCATCTGGCATCAATCCAATCTGGTGAGTTTGGTGAAGAGCAAGCTCCTGACCTGCCTTGATCACTGCAGAGCCTTGCCTGGCACCACAGAGTGTCCAGAACTCGAAGCGACGGTTCTGACTCCCCGTGTACTGCTTGGGGTCGCATTCCATCTCACAAATATTTAAGCCAGGATACGAGGGCAAGTTGCCAGGTGGCACAATACAAAACAAATGCCTCGTTGTGTTTGTTGCCACACAGTATGTGGTTTTGTGAAATCCAAAAGCCATCCAGTCACTGTGACTGGAATATGACAGTAATTTGTAACAACGGTGACTCTATTCCCGCCCCCCTTGGTCTACTTTTTGTGACATGCTCCAAAATCCTGAGAAAGGCCCGCAAAAGAAATGTTCAGAAATGTTCTAAATGGGTTTAGAAAACTTGTGAACCCTGCCTGAACTTTTATTAGATTCTCCCACCACTCACCCGTTTGACATCAGAACAAGGAAAGCATTATTTATAACAGCGTGTGTGAAATCCCAGAAGGGACGCTTGAAAGAATTAACGTGAAAAATGTGTCCCGAAGAGACTGCAGGCATAAAACAAATGATCAGATGGGAAAACATGTAAATCAAAATTTGAATCTTTTCACTCCTTTAAAGGAAGCAGGAGCTTTTTTCTTTGGCCACTAACAACATGGGGTAGAAAAACTGGGAGGTGCCACAACCAGAGGGGTCCCAGAGCACTCGCCAATGGAGAGTGAGCCATCTAGGAGAGTCTTATGTGTTGGCCCTTTTAATGCCTCCAGAATGGAGGAGATAAGATGTATTCAAGGTTACAGAGAAGGAAGACACAGCATGATTGTATTAGCGCACTGAGATTTATAAGGCACTTTCACAAATACTGTCTGAGTGTTTACCTCACGATAACCGTGGGAGGTATATATTGCAACCTATATTTTATAGTTGGAGCAGCTTGGGCACAGAGAGGTTTGGCAACTAGTCAGGGCTACCCAACTAGGAAACAGTGCACTGGAGTGTGCCCTGGATCGTTTCTACGATCACGAGCTGAGCGTTGTCCGTGGCATTACCGGTGTGAATGCATAAGAATATAGAAAGCATAGTATCTTGCTAGGTTAACGCATCCCACGGTGTATCTTTAGTTGTCTGATTCTACATGTATGTAAGCTATTCACTCCCTGTGTCTCTCTCTCTCTGTCTCCACTCCCCCTGCCCCTGCACAAACATTTATTCAACTTAGTTGAATTTGCTATGTTAAACGAAATTAAATCTGTTTTTTTTTTTTTTCGGCCAAACTCCTGAGACACTTCAAGAAGGCTGTGTGCATCATGACTCTCCAAGAAGTGAAGCAAGTTACAGCTTACAGCATATTTGACATAACCTTTGCAGTGAGCTAGCTCTTAATATTTTTGAGGCCTGTGGTATCCAAAAGAATACCACATATTGTTCTACTTATCTTTTGTCCATAATGTCCTACTTATCTTTTTATCCCCTACAGACCAACTATATACTGATCATAAATCTGGGTTCTATTTTCAATATTCCCCAAAAATAAATAAATATGTGTTTTTCGCTAAAAACCTGCACAGAGGGGTGCCTGGGTGGCTCAGTCGGTTGATCGTCCAACCTTTGGTTTCGGCTCAGGTTATGAACTCGTGGTTCTTGAGATCGAGCCCCGTGTCAGCCTCTGCGCTGACAGTGCAGAGGCTGCTTGGGATATTCTCTCTCTCTCTCTCTCTCAAAATAAATACATAAACTTAAAAAAAAAAAAATTTGCGCGGAGACCTCACAGTCCACGGAGTCTGCATTAAGTTGCTCCTGTGCTGCCACAAACCTTCTCCTTGGTGCTGGTATATGGCTGCCAGCACCTGAGGGGACCATTCCACCTTGGTTCTTTGAGTCCTCGTGAGTATCTGGAAACATTGGGAACCCCTTGTGCATGGGCAGATTTCCTTTTCCCAAAGTCTTGGGCGCATGGGGTTACAGGGCTGTGAGCTGGGCAGTTACTCAGCAGGCCAACAGCACCAACATGTCCGCACTGATATGGCCACTGGCATCCTTTCTGGTCTGCCGATGCCTGTGTCACCCGAGTTGTGTTTTGAATATCAAGCCTGATGGTTAAGTACTGACATCACCTTCAGGCGTCCCCAGGCAGCTCCATGAGGGAAATCTGTGCTCATGGAACAGTGACTCCCTGTCACCGCATGGTGAAAAGCAAGGGAGGACATTGAAAGGTGATGGAAGGCAACCTACCTCTATATGTGTATGTATGTGTATATATATTTGTATATACATATATATGTATATTCACATACATATACATATATACATCAAAGATTTGTGACCACCTTACCCCTGACCCAGGAATTTATGTCCCTACTTGTCAGATTTGGGGTCCTTGTACATAGAAGAATGGAGGGAAAAAAACACAACATGCCCTCCTCCTTTGACACTCAAGGTTTCTTTGATGCCAAGAGCATCACTGGAAATCACCGAGCATATTAGACATCTCTGACACTCTCAGCAACTCGGGCTCAGGAGTTGAACAGCCTTTTTCACGTACTCTTAGTCCATTTCTTCCCTTTAATGAGGCAGAAACGGACACCGACAATTATAATCGGGCAGAAACTCAATGTGGCATCAGTCTAAGAGCTCAGGGGCTGATGGTTGTCATGAGGTCTGACTCCTGCTGTCTACGTGACCACCTGCTACCCCAGCATCAGGCAGTACATTTGAGCTGGCAGTGCTGGGGTTTTTGGCCTGAAAAGTGGGATCTGCCACACCCAGGGCTGCTGTGCAGAAATTTGATCATGGTTTAAAATCAGACAGCCCTGATGTGCCACAAATCCAAAAGTGAAATTCTTAACTTTTCTCTGGGAAGTAGGAAATCATAAACAGGTGTCCTTGTCAAACAAAGTACTCTGTGTCTGTGCTAAAACCCTTGCCATCTAACACCTCAGCTTCAGTGTTTTTTACTAAAATGGACTTTTTCAAAACTGTATTTACTTATTTGTTTTTGTACAGAAGCTCAATTGTAGTAGAGGAACGTCCTAAGCTCGGAGTCCAAAGACCTGACTTCTTTGTGTCCATAGCAGTCTGAACCTCAGCTGCCTCACCTGTAAAATGGGAATAATAATTTCTGCTGTGCCCGTGGCTGGATCGTGGTGGCCAGGGTATTTGAGGCAACACTGTGCGCTCATCCTAAGACCCAGTGGAAGGAGGCTCTGGCCTTGCTAAGAAAGTAGAGTCACTTGGTGGGTCATTTTGGACAGAGCTCCCTACTTGTTTCCTGGTCAAAATGATCTTGTTAATTAGAAGACTGGGTCCTCTTCACACCAGAAAGCACGTGTGTGTGTATGTGTGTGTGTGTGTGTGTGTGTGTGTGTGTGTGTGAGTGTATGTTTTATCTACGATGAACACCCGTCCAGTCATCATCTCTGCCCTATCTAGTTTCAAGAGAGAATAGGAAACAATATGAAAAAAAAAAATACTTTGACTATTCTTTGCCCTCTTGTCTCTGTTGCTTGAGATTATCAAGAAATTGTATTTCCCTCATGTATTTTATAAATAATTAAAGTTAATAAATACAAATAAAGGAAAGGGACAAAGTGCCCCCCTCCCGTTTCTATTCTACACTTTTCCCGCTAATGATGGGGACTTGGTTTTCGGGTGACTGACGCCTCCTGTTCACCCCACTTTCCACCAGGTCGGTGGCCACACGATGTTACCCATTCGCTGGATGCCTCCAGAGAGCATCATGTACAGGAAGTTCACCACAGAAAGTGATGTCTGGAGCCTGGGAGTCGTGTTGTGGGAGATCTTCACATACGGCAAACAGCCCTGGTACCAGCTGTCGAACAACGAGGTGCGCAGTGGGCTGGGCGAGACCCCCGAGGGCCGATGTTGAGAGGCATCCCTCGGCTGGAGGCCAGGAGATGATGTTGTGTGGCCTTGTTGGGAGTGTCACCTCCCACATGGCCTGCTCTGTACCTAAATGTCACGGCCAAAGTATCGTCACTCTCTGAATTTAAGAGTTCTAGAGAAAGCAAAGCAGTGTTTGCTAACACAGCTAGATTTTTGGTAGTATTCCACTAAGGATTCAGGGCTCTTTTTTTTTTTTTT